CCTTCACTTGTTTCTGCGCCTCATACACAGAATATCTGTCTCCAAGGCCCAGCAGTTGTTGACATTTGAAAATATCACACTGCACTGGAACACTTTATATTTATGCCTCTGTTGAAAGCAAAGTCATATCTCAAAGTCCCCAGAACCCACCATTACTTTCCAATTGCCAAAGCATGAGTTTTTGATGAGGGCAGGGTAAGTCAGCCAGCATGCTCTCCACTCCTAAGTCCAGCCAAAAGCTGCTTAACACATCAGTCTCTGTCCCATAAATCAGGGTAGACGAGGACTATAACCGATTTCCCCTTCCTCCCTCTTTTAGGAAGGACAGAGTAATCGAGGTTACAGAAACCTGACAGTTATTAACAGGGATAAACATGATACTCCTGACCTTAACCGCAGTTACTGAATCAGATGCGTGTGCATGCCTCCATGTGCACATGCACGTGTGCGGACGCCGCAGGACTCAGATTTTCCTGGCAAGTTGTCTGCTGCTGGCAAGAGGAAGCAGTAACACTGCTGGCACAGAGATGCTGAGCTGAGGACTAACACAGGCCAGCAAAGTCAAAGTGAAATTAGGTTTCAAAGATTCCACTCTTAATTTTCCCCTAGAAGAGAGTCATTCTCGTCATTGTTTCCATAACAGGAATATGTGCTCTTGACAAGTGATCTGCAGTTGTTTTCACATCTAGACATTCTATGTTGGTTACGCTCTGCTTGGAGGTAGACACTGGCTTTGGTCAACCGAGATTGCAGCCTTTTTACATGATGCGTCTCAGTATGTGATGAAGTCTGTCATACTTATGCTTCCAAAGCACTCAGCCAACATTAACTAAATATAAAAAATAATTTAATTTTAAAAAATTTAAGTCTGATACTGCGAGCCTCAAAAACTCTCATATTTTACAGTGCTAAGAAAGAAATATCCATATAAGCCAAGGAGATGTTCTCATTTAGGGCCAATCCCATGAGTTATTTATATTGCCAAATCCTATTTAGGTGCCTAAATAAGAGATGATTGCAAGTATTTTTGTGAGCATGGCCCTTAAACCCTAATCTCTGCCAACAAGCAGCTGAGGGCTATAGAAAACCATCCTCTGACTTCTTCTCTTCTTTGAAAACTGAACCATCATCGGTTAAAGAAAACCTGGGATTTCTGGGAAAGTGTCCAGAACTGCAAGCTAATGCCTGAAGCAGTCACTCCCATATTCTACGCTGAGGAATTTTTCTTCTTACAAGCTAGCTGATGTAATGTGTGGTTCATTAATATAATGTTTTTGTGCTTACATTTCCCACAAAAACTTTCTATGAAAATAGCATTGCCACCGATGCTTGACAAACAAGGAGTATTTACTTCTTAATTTTATGGTCATTCCCATGCATCTTCATGTCCCATCTGCAGTTCTCTCGATGGAAGAGTGTGTGGCTATCGTATCCATCAATTAGGTCAGATATGGAGATGATTGCTAGGAATTACGATGGGGTGGTATCTATTGATTCTGTATTTCATGTGATAAACTGTGTGCTTAATATGAAAACCATCTGTACATCAAGGAAGAGAAAAGAAACTGCAACGTATAGTGCCAACTGCTTGTTTTGCTCTTTGATGGATCCCTAATTAACTGACTTTTCTTAACTGATTGCCAAGAGGATATGCAATGCCTCTTCCTGAAAGACATAAAATCAAGAAGGGAGATGATACAAAGAAGGAGCACGCTCCTCCTTTCAAGGACAGGTTTGAGCCTGAAGTCAAAACAACGAAAGGCTGAACTAATTGTTCAGCCTAAAGAAGAGAAAATTGATGAGGCTCATGGCAGTCCACAGATTTTTCAAATAGAAAGGAATCATCTGTTTCCCATGTTCACAGCAGATACGAAAAGTAGCAATGCGCTTCATTCATAGCAAGGAAATCTGGGGTAAGATAGCCGAAAAACAGCGAGGAGAGTTCACCACTGGCACAGAACGTCTCAGGAGGTTACAGATTCCTCCTCATCAGAGGTGTTAAAGGGGCATGTTAGACAAGTATGTCAGAAATGAAATAGGGAATGTTAATCCCACACGTAGACAGGGAGATTGATTCACTGACTTGTAGGCCGATTTTTCTAAATTTCTGATTCTATGGCTTTTAGAAGGTGTTATCTTGTGCTAGGAGCAAGCCATGGGAGCAGGACAATGAAAGATGGCTAGCAATAGTGCAGATTGATGAGTCTTCAGGCTTTTCCTTTCTGATGGGGTGGAATTAATCTCATCCTAAAAAGTTTTTCAACAACTTTAGAGAAATACGATGTAGACAAGAACAGCTAAATCAAGCATATAGATCCCTTTACAAAAGCATCCAGACATTTCTGGAGCATAATGCACATGAACTGTTCTAAACACCCACCTTCAACTGAGCTAATCAAACATCTACCATCTACCTTGTCAACAGGTCTAAGTTTTATTTACTGGGAAAGAAACCTACTGGGACTGGCTCGGTTGCAGGTACCTACTCTCTTTGATACCTAGTGTTAGCTAAAATTAATCTCGGTACAGGTGATTGGTTTTCCAGTCCCAGAAACTTTGTCTCTCGCGCACCTCTAGTATCAGGAGCTCCGAACCCAGACCACAGAACAAGGGCATTCTTCCTCCCTGATAGGTAGTTCCCAAAAGCCCAGAGCCCTGATTGTTTAAGTATTTATTCTCTCTACTTTTCTTTCTCACCTTCAAATCTTGCTTTTCTTTACTCCTTAAGCTGCAACACCTTAACTGTTATTCTCATCATCTGGCTGAAACTGGGAAACACTGGAGGGACGTAGTGACAGAGACTAGCACAGTGTTGCTTCAAGCTGCTTTTCAGGGAAGCAGAGACAGGTTTTCCAAGCCTTGCACAGTTGAACAGCACTTACTAATAATTTTAATGTTCTTAGATTAACTATGAGGAACACATACACACACTGTGTGATCACACAAACTTCATATGCCAAGCAAAACAAGCAAAATCTTGCTCCTACCGCAGAGAAGGCTGACTAGATCCGTATCAGTTGGTACATCAGCTATCAATGGCAAGCAACCTAAACAAGTTTTCTGATACCAAACTTCCCCAAAAATAGAGAGCAAAGTTGATGTACACTTCACAAAGGAATTAGAGACATAGTCTGGAGTCTGATTTTCTGCTCTTTCTTCACTCCTGTAGTCAAAACAGTCAGTGTTCACTGAATCTTTACCTAGTAGAAAAGCAAACACCACAACAAATTGCTAAAGTTGTATTTTCAGCCTAGATTTTAAGCTTTTTTTTTTTTTTCAGCTCAGCATAACATGGCTTTAAGCACCAATGTTCCAGAGAAAGATAGTGCTTACTCAAAGAGATGATGATATGTCAGATAAATAAAGACTAGGCAGAGTCAGGCTATGTCTGTACTTTGACACAAGACCTCCAAAAAAGAGCTATGTACTTCAAAAAGGGATTTAGACAAATCTGTTGTCAGCACTCCTCCCCAAGTCAGCTCTGGAAAAACTGCCACAGGATTCACTGTGAGGAGATTCCGGGCAGCCGTCAGTGTCACCGTTCAGATAAGAGACACAAGTGAATCCAGACTATGCAGTCAACTACCTGGCTCTCCTCCCATTAAAGGCAAGGAAGGCTGTGCTGGCCACATTGCCACCTGGGAAACTCCCCTGCTGCCCAAATATGTCCCCCTTACCTTTCTAATTCCTGTCCTAAAGATGGCTAAAGTTACTTTTCCACGGTTAGTACACTTTACCTTAGAGGCAACTATAGCAATTTCATTATTGCAAAGAGCAAATCTGGTGCACTATTTGATTTTTATTTCCGTATTATAAGGTCCTCTAGAGGAAGGCGGAATGTGTGCTTCTGGCTGTGCCTGATACAAAATGTCATTCCCTTGCCCAGTAGCAAAGATACCTCCTTTTTCAGACTCATCCTTCAGTTCTCAACATAAGGTCTGTGCAAGCTGGCTTTTTCTGCTCCTACGCAAGCTAATGGAGCATTTGTCTGGATCCAGGTAAACCAAAAAGCCTTCCAGTTCCACAGGTTAGTCTGGGAAATACAATTGCACCATCTTTCATTTTGAATGTATTTGCATCAAAACCAGTGATGAAGTGGTGAAGTTAAACAAGCATGCACATTATGGCTATGAAGTAGTTACTACTGTAACAAAATCTTTTCTGACTGATTTTTCAGTCAGCTGTTCTTTGAGACCTTTGATATTTCGAAAAAAGATGAGAGTTGATACCAACGGATTACAAACATACCCTGGACTGAGAGAGAGTGCAGGGGGAATAAAAACCTTTGCTGGGTCTTGCTCTACACAAAAATAAACTCAATTTAAGTGGTAGCTCTTTTTTTTTTTTTTTCAAATGCACACAGCTTTTAGGTTTTTTTTCTTACTACTGTGGTTCCTAAATTAGGAATATTCTTTGTAACAATAAAGGTATTTGCAAATCAAACATGTATTTGCCTTAGAGGATTATGTACATTGATTACATTATTATATTAATAAGTCTCTGAGAAAACAGAGAACTCCCTGAATTTTCTCAGATTACTTTGTCTGCATTTGCTGATTATATTTATCTTCCATACAGAATTGTATCTATCTTCCTTTATCATACTACCTGTGAAGCATTATCTAAAACTCAATTATAAGAACTGTGAGGTTGAAAGATTGTGATAAAGAAGCAAAATACATTCAAAGAGAAAAATAAAGACAAAATGGTAAGAAAGACCTTGCAAAATAGGAATTCCACCAAACACATTACTATTTCCTATGGTATATGAAATTCAGGCTGAAGTAAAGTTTTATGCTGCATAGGCAGATAATTTTCCCTTGGCAACTTTATTGTTGCTTTCAGTTACCTCTTATTTTCAGTATTCAGAATTTAAAGAATAAAAATATTTATCTTCTTTCTGAAATCAATTTAGCTGATACAGTTTTGGCTTAATTAGCATGATATGGAAACCTGCCCTCTACTTTGGTTGTAAACATTTTAAAAATACATCTTCTTACCACTTTCATCCAGCAAGAAATCATCCTGGTAACGGAACTTTTCTGGTCCACATGCAATAAAAATGTCATCATCACCAAAGAAATCCTGAAGGCACATCACCTACAAGCAAAAAGGAAAGGAAGGCATTGTATGAAATACCTCATCATCAGAATTGTAAGAACAATAAATCCCTCCTTGTCTCCATCTGCATGAAAACTCTTCACTTTTAATGGAATCAACAGGGCTTCATCTCCAGATAAATTTCAAAGCTGTACTCTGACCATCTGTTACAAGTGAGAAACACTTTTATGGACACTGCAGGAAGAGAGAGATAAGACAAAAAGCCATAACTGTCACATTTATTACATGATGCATCAATGGAGTATGAGGTAAATGCCTTTTGTTTACGCACAAGGTACCATTCAGCAGTTGGTGGATAATTAATTTGCTTTTGAGCCTACATTTCTATCATTTGTCTGCCCTGAAACGAGGTTACAGCTTTGTATGCAGAATTAAATGCAGTTATTTCAGCAAAATCTCCCATACAGGGAATGAAACTCATATGGGTGAACTGAGTCTCCATCACACACCCCTCATCTTCACCAGCAGAGTCAACGTGAAGCCTCTTCGAAGGCACCAAGCAGAACAATCAGATGCGCTGGGAATGATTCTTCTAGTACTGACTAAAAGAATAATCCCTTTCTAGTCCCAAATATGAACAGTCTGGATTACGTTGGTATAGTTCTATGTCTATACATGAGATTTCCTTACAACAGCTTTCAGTTCACAAGGCACTAGTTAACATTTTTAATGTTTCCAGTTATATGACTATTTTTACTAATGTTCTTAAAGAAAAATCAGTAACTTTCCAAAAACCTGACTTTAGACACTGATCCAGTTTTGACAAATTTTAAAAACCAATTAGGTATCAGACTAACTTTAAAAAAACAAAGACCCTTGGTAAACAATATTATAAGCTCTGTTCCCGCTTCACATTTACAAGAAGATTTTAAAAGGCTATGTTTGCTTATTTTATATAATGTTTTGTAAATAAATAGTGCACTAATGTTTGAGCAGATTAATATCACAAATAGAGTTTCAAGTCAACAGTGTACAGACAGGAAAGTAGCACATAAAGAATTTCTAAAAATTGACAAAATATTTGGGAACAGCCCAGCTGAACCAGACCACCCCCCTCATAAAAAGCAGGGCTGGGGAAAGTCAGCACTTAAAGCCTTCAAAAACACAAGTGAAAGAATTAGCTAATGAGATTGGACAGACTTTGCCAGACTTTGGCATAAAAACAAGCACCCACCCCAACCTGCAGTGACTGGTGTCTAGGGGTTATAAAATTCATATCATGCTTCCCGGAAACACGCCTGAAGGCTTTGGCATCTACAACAGTTACGAGCCTCTATGCTAGAAAAATCTTAAGGAAGAAAAATAGTGGTACATGTCGTGACTTGCTTTCAGAGTAAGATTTGTCATTAAAACTATTTTAAAGGTAGAGCAGTAGCAGCTGAAAAAAGAGGAACTCAAAAGAAGAACTAGATGAAAGAAATACCCCAAAAGAAACAAAGGTACTCCCAAAATTACACTTTCCTTAAGTAACGCACATAATTTAAACTCAGACCCACCACAATGCTATTCCTATCAACATTGTCACCTTAACACCACACAGTACCTGAACACCAACATCAAAAATGTAAATATTTGATGGACCTTTTCACCATGTTCCTACTCAGTTTATGTTCTATTAGTGTATCAGCTTCAGCAACCTTTATATAAACTCATTTACTTCCCATCTTTTTTTTTTGTCCACAAGACATATCCTGCCTATCTTCCCACCCCATACTCCCACCAAGCTTCAAACATCTCTTCCCTTCAGTCAAGTTCCTCTGAAATTACCACCTCTCCCACAGCATGCACAAAGCTACTAATTTGCAGAATGACATTAAAAATCCTGTGATTTCCTGTTTGCCTCCCAAGTTTGCCACACTTCTGGGGAGTGATAACCTTTACATTTGTGTTTATACTAAGCAGAGTATTAGAACTGAACAAATAATAAGTGACCCCAGGCACAAAGTTGAGCTATTTTGACAACAAGCACGAATGAAAATTAAATTCCTATTTAAATCAAAAAATCATATGGATTTAATAAAACTCAAAAATGCTTGGCTCTGCCCAGTTAAGAGGGTTTCATTCAAGCCTAAACAAGACATTAAAATGGAGGTAGCAACACCTAACCAGGCTCAACTACACCAGTATTTAAAGCATCTCAGGTTCAATCAGTGCAATTTATATGCAAATAAGAAAGAAAATAGGATTAGCACAATAGAAAAATAATTTGTACTTAGATATCCTTGTTTTTATTAAACTTTACACTTATAATTTAAGGTGTTCTTATGCTTGCCTCTTTTCCCCATGTTCTCAGTTTCCTACTCTGTACGTAAAACAACACACACTTCTTACAGTTTTTCTTGCCTCCTGAGATTTTATTCATTTGGGAATTATAATTCTAGCTCCTAGAAAGCTCATAGCAAGAGCATAAGTTCCCTCCAAACCCATCCCCCTCCGGAATAACTTCTCTTCAGGCTTCCAGTACCTTTTTATATTATTTATTGGAAGCCTCGACACGTCCTTCACTGTCTGCTTTCTCCTCTGCAGCATTTTCCACCCTTTCTATCTCAGCATCTCTGGTCTGCTCCGCTCCCCAGCTCACGCTCCTCAGAGGTTACACTGAAGGGCCTTTCCAGAAGGCATCTGAAAAATATACAGCACCCCTTCCAGGCTTTTTCGGAGAGAAATCTGCAAGCACTTTCTATTCACACTCAGTCATCAGCTAAGCAACAGGACCTGCTTTTTATTACCCATTTTCACTTCTGGAGAACACAGCTCCTCAAAAGTTACGGTTTAGAAGATCAAGGATTTGTATCACCCGTACTGAACTGTGCTAGTGCTTAAGAGGCCAGTGTGCTCTGTTGCACATGACCAGCTTTAAAATTAGTTCATTTTTAAAATAGTGAATTACAAAAGCCTCCCTGAACATTTTTGTTGTTTTCAAGTCACAGAATCCACCTTCTTTTTCACAAATAAGTTTTCATCTTCCATATTCCACCAGGACGTTTCTCATAGTGGGGAAAACAAAGTCTATGCAGGAGCAGTCAAACATACACCTTAAGTAAAAAGAAACTGAAAAAATAGATGTTTTCTACCACACACCTGGTACTAAATACACTGTGACACCTGTAAACAAAAACTTTCTGACAAAGAGGTGATATTTAAAGTTAATGGTGTCTCTCTTACACTCTGTAGGGGAATGAATAAATAACGGTAATATTACCAGCAGCCAGGGAGTCTCAGGCGTTACAATACTTTGCATCGGTGGCGACAAAGATGACAAGCAGCAGCGAAGAAAATCGATCACTAGTACAGGCTGCGGGCAATACACAAGCCACATAAAAAAGACTAGGTGACCTGTACACACCCGATGCAAAACAGAGGAGAGGCAGAAGAATTTGTCATGCCTAAACTCACGTCAGCAAGTTGTGCAGGCTGAAGCCTGGATACCCCACAAATCCTTGTCCTAGTAAACAACTGAAGAATTCCATGCCCTTCCAGTGGGAGACACAGGTATCTGCCTAGGAAGAATTCCAAATTATTTTGTATCTCAGACGTTGGTGTGGTGCTTTCGCTAGAAGCCCAGAGGGAACACGGGGACCCAGCCAGGCCAGGCACAGCCGCTGGGGGAGCACACAGCAGAGCAGCTGAACTGCCCCAGAAGGAGAACAGGGAGCAGAGCAGCGAACGTGGCTTCCAGCCCAGGATCAGGACTGGCTTTGCACCATAGCATGGACACTGTGGGCATGTTAAAAATTACCTTCACTTTTCTTTCTTTTTTTAAACAGGCAAGTACCTGGAACCAATGAGAAATCACCGAACTATTGTGGAGCCTTTTGTTTTCCTGAACTGGCATGAAACATTTAAGCTCTTAATATTCACCTCTTTGAAGTTGGTAACTTTGTTATGGAGACCCTCTTTCTTATATCTACAAAAGATGTGAGAAATTATGCTTTACATTTTGGAGCACAGATGACCGAAGAGTAAGAATAGCAGCTTGTAGAGCCATTACCTGGTTTTATTCTCTCACCACAAGTGAGAAAGAGCAGTCAGTAGTGGTGTGGAGGAGGTGCAGAGGGAGGGAGGGAAGGGGGAATGCAGGGAAAAGAGAGGGAAAGGCAGAGGGGAAGAGAGGGAGAGGGAGAACAGGGAGGGAAGAAGGGAGGGGTGGAGGGAGGGATTGAATCAATCCTTTCTCTAAAAGCATGAAATGAAAGCTACAGATTAAATCACCTTTTAGAATTGCTGTATTCTGGCTATAGTGGGGTCAGGGACCTTTTTGAATCCATGTTTTAAAACATACACCAAAAAAAACCCAGAACAAAATTCTTTGCCTATGTCAGTCACAGCAAATCAAATACTTTCCTATTGTTTTAAAGTTGACCACATATCAAGTTAATACCAACTCTGAAATTTTTAAATAAAAAAGAATCAGAAACTCAGATTTTCCTCTGCATTCAGGAACAGCTCACAGCACCAGCACAGTACACCACCACCACCAGGATTACTAACTCTCATGTTTTTGTTACAATTTTCATAATGCTGGGTTCTTGGACAGAAAAGGAGGAGGGAGGTGTTCCGTGTGTTTGTCTTCTTTTAATAGCAACAACTTAATTAGACTCAAAGCTGAAAGCTGTTTTGCATGAGCAATGAGAAAACCTCAAGCTGGGGTGCCCTCAGGCACCACGGCTGTTGGAGAGCTGGAAAGAAAAGTGAGGACAAAGAAATGAGGTGGTAAAACAAAAAAGATGCAGAAGGAGAACTCAAATGATAAGTGGGTATAGGAGTGTCCTGAAAAGAAAAAGATAAATGAATTATGGCAAATGGAAAACGAGGCGTAAAGGAAGGAGGAGATGCAGGCTGCAAGGCAGGAGTGCACAGGGAGAGCGACAGAGGGGTAATCGAGGCTGGTGTGGAAAGAGCAGCCCAAAGGAGGGGGCAGGCAGAGTCAGTGGCAAGTGCCTTCCAGACTTCATCCCATAGCCAGCCAGCTGGGAAGT